TTGATCTTGTAGACGTTTGCAGGGGGCTGCTCCACCCACCGTTAGGGGGCAGCCAACGAAGAGCCTAACGGTGAGGTGCTGAAAACGTACCTGCTTTGTCATACTGTCTTGTGGATGCTCTTGGGTCCAGTGTGGCAGCTGGGGGTCCGCAGGATGTGCCTGGGCTCGGCGCAGCAGCTGGCAATCCTTAAAATTTGAGTGTTATTCGCGCATGTCGATCTGCCTTCCCCAAAAGGGTGATTCCGAAGTGTGTTTCGGCAATGCTTCCGTATCCGGTCATTGTCGTGAGCCCTTGGAGGGCGCCAAGTCAATCACCAGAGTACACGATGACGTGCAGACGCAGACAACCTGGGAACGTTGAAGTTGTGACTTCGATCGACAGTGCAGTAAACACGAGTTTTCGCCTTGAGCAACCAGTTTCGGCCTTGAGCTACCAGTTCTTGCCTTGAGCAACCAGTTCTTGCTTTGAGCAACCAGTGGATGCCGTGAGCAACCATTTCGCTTCGAGTTAACTACATGCCACTGCATGCTTCCAGATCTACTTCGCAAACCCAGTATGGCTTCATCCAGTTTACAACATGGGTGGCACAGTTCAAGCGATGACAAAGACATGTTTAAAGAGAGCTTGTCAGTACCTTTCCATGTCAAAAATCCTGCATGCTTTGCATGTCCATGCGAAGAGCAGTCGCCATGTCAACGCAGAACGTTTGCTTTGCTGTGTAGCTTGAAGCTTGCAGCGTTTTGGTCTAAAGGTGCCGTGTTTTTAAAACATGTTGACATACTGCACAAAGGCGTTCTGAAGCTTCACGTAATTGGTTGCTCGTGAAGACTTTAGAGTCGGACACCGTGGTTGCAGCACTCCGAAGCAGAGGCATCGTGAGCATGGGTTTTCCACCTGGAGTATGGCATGTTTCTAGCAGCAATCAAACGAGCCAGCGTCGAAGTGGTGACAGAAGTGGTGAGTCTGTGGTCGGAAACATACAGATGCCTGGTGCGAGCTTCCGAGTTTTGTCCGATGGTGCCCCTAAACCGAAGTGGATTCCAAAGTTAAGTTGCCCACCACTTCGTGAGGTTGGCCGTGATGACACGCGGAATAGGCTTGAAACTACTTCTACCCCGATCCTGGAGGCCAACGACGGTAAAGATCATGTGTCGGTGCGCCAGAAGCGCAAGGTTCAGTATCGGCCTGCAGGTCTCTTGCAGCCAAAATTCATGAAGACTGACCTAGATGTCGTACAGCAGATTCGCTTGCCTTCGACGCGAAACGTCAGTGATTCCAAGTTGTGGGTTCCAGATGCCGAGTCTTTGCGTCAGTTCCTCATGGCAAAATTGGCAAGTTTCTCGTTGTACCGTGGGAGACCGGCGTGCTCAGCAGCACTCCGCGAGTGTGCGCAACTGCTACATGCATGCGGTGTGGGTATTGCTGATTTGGGACCTTTCAGTCTGCTCTCTGCTCGTTGGTATGGTGAAGTCAAGATGATCCAGTTCCTGGTGATGGAATCCAGCCTTTTGCAATGCAGATGTGGACGACAAACCATGGCTAAATCTTGGAGATCGCCCAGTACTTTCGTAGTTGCTGTCACCATGCGGGAGTTCTGCAACATTGTCAACGAAGGTGAAATTCAGTCCTCACAGTTTCTAGCTTGGGGGAAAAAAGTCGTGCCACCACATCAATCACCGATGGCCGAAGTTTTGGCATGTGCTGCCCAAGACCTGAGGAACAAGTCGTGTTGTTTGATTTTTGGTTCCTGCTCGGGGCATGTATGGTGCGAGACAGGGGAATCATTGAGCCCACCTGCAGATGCACACCACAAGACCTGCCAACCTGTACAAAATCAGTTGGTCCAACGGTTGTGCATAAATCGCGATGTTTATCAGCTTTCCGGCTTTGCCTTGAAATTGGGTGGGGCTGATGACGATTTTTACTAAGTCGTTTACGGTGCTGTCTTCGTCAAACAAGTCTTCACCGCGGTTTCTTGCCGGCTTTGTATGCACAATGTGCATGTTGTGCATGCATCGCGTCTCGACGCGACTTTCTGCCTCAGTGTGGTTATTAGTGTAGTGTTGTCCTCTCACCCTGCTTTCGAAAGCATGGCTAGGCGCGATTCCTCTCGGTCTCGATCTCCAGTGGCACGTCGTCGCGCACGGTGTGTGGAGTTTGAAAGTCCGCACGGTCATGGGCGCAAAGAGCACAAGTTGGACCTTCCCACCTCGTTCCAGTCCGACCGGAAGTACATCGACAAAAACTCGTGTTTTGGTCGCCAATTCTACCGGAACGTTTGCTCAACACCGTGGTCTCAACAAGTTGGTCTTGCCAATCGTCCTGTGGACAGTGTCAAAGTTCATGAGCTGTGTTATTTGGGCTGGGAAAACCACAACTTGAGAGCTTTGTCAGCGGGGGCTTTCGTGAGTGTAGTCTTCGCTCGTTCAGTTCGTGAAGCTCAGCTGGCAGACAGTTTGTTGCGGTTGTGTCGCACCGAACACTTGGACATCGAGAGTGCCGCGTTCAACCGGTGGTTCCAAAAGTACGGAGACAATCCAACCGACAAGGACAGCAAGAACAAAGCAGTTCAGGAGTTGGCTACGGAAGCGTTGAGTGCTTTACGAAAGTTTCATACCTCGCCGTCTTCATCGTCTGATGCTCATGAAGTTGCAGAGCTCCGAAAACGGGTGAAAAAACTTGAAGCAGAAAAGGATGCTTCTCGAAAGTCATCTCCCTCGCGCTCGCCAGCCCCGCCTACCAGTAAGCGTCATCGCCGAGGTGGTAACAACTTGCCTGTTGAGCACGTGACTACGTCCCCCCTTTTGAAGAACGACTCGGGAATCAAGCCTTTGAGAGAAAACTACCCCGCCACCGTCACCGCCCAGGGCGTCAATGCTTGGATCCGGAAGTTGCCGAAGAAGAAAGAAGCTTCTATCAAAACGGCCATCAAAGATGCGGAGCAGGTTTTCAAACAGTTGTCAGAAGCACAGGTGGCAAGCCTCCCGGACGTTGCTGCTGAGTGGGGTTTGAGTGTAAAGCAAGCTTCTTCGTCAAAGGACAAGGAGTTGATTCGCATCATTGCGGCAGCCCATGTTCTCGCCCGCTGATTTCCCACTTCGTACAGGTGCTTTTCTCTTTTAACCACACTCTGCATCGTGCTACAGTGTGGTTTGCTTTTTCCAAACAAGGCCATCAAGCGGGCTGCCTTGTACGTAGCCGGCTTCGTGTGGCTAACCTTGTTGTTTTGTGCCGAAAGGTTGTCTTTCAAGGCCGCGGAGTGGAAACGAAGGTTGCAGCGTCAAAACGTCTCACCTCGAAGTTATAGTTGGCAGTTTTTCAATCAGAGTTTCGTTGTCTACATTCGAGCGCCTGGTGTTGCTGAGAGTTGCTCCAGGCGCCGGTTTTCTCTTGGCTCTCACATGTTTTACATTGGCGCCACAAAAGTCGGGATATTCGAACGCGAGTATGCTCGAGTCCGAAAGCACGACCAATTGTTTCAATCCTCTTATGTTCAAGCTGAGCCTGCTGTGAAGTGGTGGTTTTGTTACCAAAACTTTTTCGATTTCGTCCCGATTGTCTTGGCTGCCGGAAGCTCCTATGCACAAGCGTGGACAGTGGAACATCTCTTTGTACAGAATTGGCGTCCGCCTTTAAACTATCCGTTTTCAAATAAACTGGTCTTTAAAGGAGACCGCGTTACCGTCCAGAAGGTAGCCAAGAAGCATGCATCTGCTGCGCAAAGGTGTGGTAAGAGGTTGTTCTTGAAGTTGAGAAGGCGATCAAAAACAATTCAAAACGTTGTGACTGAATTTGGTCCACAGGGTGGTAAAATTCTCTACAGATCATCGGCGTGGTCAATCTTGTTTCTTCTACCTCAGTTGGAGGGGCAAGGATGGCAAATGCAGAAGCTGCTCGCAACTGAGACGAACAGTCTCAATTTGTATGCGTTGGACAGACTGACAAGCGCCTTGGAGGAGCCATACCGAGGTGTTGCCAAAAAACGGTTGCGTGCTCTCCTTTTGTACAAGGGGTTGGCAGTGCCCCGGTTCGCCAAACCTTTGGCAGTTCCGTTGCTTGCTAACAAGTTATTCAAACAGAATGTGAAAACATGGGTTGTTCAAGTTCGGAAAATGTTTGCACACAAAGCGTTGCCGTTTCATCTGCCGACGAAGGATGTTATTGAAAAAAGGCATGGTTCGGTTGGCGAAAAACTCTTTACCTTTCGGCGTTGGTTAAAAAAGTTTTCGCAGTGCCCAGGTGAGGATTTGTGTCGTTGCCAATCGGTGCTACAAAAACACCCGGAGCTTGAGTGCATAGACGGCCATGTTGCATCACCAGCTTCGCGGCTGTCGGTATCAAGACATTTGCGACGTCTTCTCGGGTCGTCTGCAGGCTGTTGTTTTTTCCCTCGTTATAAAAGGTACAGAGACATCTCTGTGCAAGAGGTTGGCAAGTGGGCTGAGCACCACCGTTTGCCAGTTAACGAGGTCGCACAGCAGTGGTTGCAATTTCTGAGCGTTGAGTTTCCTGCACATGTCAAAGCTGTGTCTGGACGATTCTCCGTTTCTGACGTTCTCAGAGCGGCGTGCGAGATGGAGGACGTGGTTGTTCACTCTCGGGACCACGCCTACAACCAAATCATGATCTTTTGTCCGCGGTTGTACCGGTCTGCAGTTTTGAGCACCTTTGAGGACAAGGACGTTTACTATGAGCTTGCAGGTCATCCTTATTCCATTGCGAAGTCTTCTTTTGATGCCATACCTTGTCAGTTGAAATCTCGCTACTCATGGGGTATCAAAGAGACGTACTTGCTGCCCAAGGCCTATGTGTTTCTGAAAAAGAAAAAGGATTTCAAGCAGGCTCGTTCAATCATCAACTTTCGCGGGTCGTGTTTGAGTCGGTTGTGCAAGATTGTGGCATGTGTGTTGAATGAAGTCTGTCATGTTGCTTTCCCTGCGAACTTTGGCAAACTGAAGTTGCACGAGTTGTGGTCTTCGCTTCATGGCTTCCTCGACCGCTTGTCCCATGCTACAGCTCAAGAGTATGTGACGGTGAATGACGACCTCGCTGGATTTTTTACTTCTATCCCAGTTTCACGCTTAAAGCGTGCTTGCGAGCTCGCGTTGGACAGGTTCTTCGACAATAAGCAGTCAGGCGGAAAAAACCGAGGAGAGTTTTGGTTCACAGTCGATGAAAAGTCAGCCTCTTCACATGGACGTGTCTTGCGTGGAAAGCCTATGAAAAACAGAGCATCGGCTTGTCGGAAAGTTTTCGCGGGTGACCTGTTGAAGATCATCGAGCTCTCTTTTTCGTTTGCATCTTTCACAGTGTTGGGCCGATGCTTTGAGCAGAGGAGAGGAAGCCCGATAGGCAATCAGTTGTCACCAAGTTTGTGCAACATCGCCGTTTGCATGGAGGAAGATTGTTGGGTCCGCGGGTTGAGGCAATGCTGGGCTTCAGATCGCTTGGCTTGTTGGTTTCTCAGGTATGTCGACAATCGTTTCTTGCTCTTTCCTCAAAGGTGCTTAAAAAGCGACGCTTTTCAAAGATTGGTGATGCCCACCTTTTACAGGCCTCCAGTAATGCTCGAAGCATGTGACATGGAGGAGCTGTTGGGGTGTCGCATGTCAGTGCATGATCGTCGTGTAACTTTTGACATTCCTGCAGAAAGCTGGCAGTATAGAGTGCCGCAAAGCGCGGGGTCTGCAAATGCAAATCTTGCGTCATTTCGTGCGAGGGTGTTAATCGTGGCCACGCAGGTGTATCCAAAACAGGATGTGCCAGCTCAAATTCGCGCACTCTCCCACAAATATTTGGAACTGGGTTTTCACCGTCACGAGCTACATCGGGCTCTTCCAGCGAAAGCCAAGCGATTTCGGTCCGTTGTGTGAGCAAGTCAAGACAGCAGGCTTGGGAGTTTTTTTGCATGCAATCTCGGTGTCAGTAGTGTCGTGGAGCAGGCGTTGGTGAAACATGTGCGGAGCAGCAGTTGTGTGCACTGCGTTAAAAGATAGTTCGTGTTGCCTGCCATCCCGGTCCTGGAAGGGCCGGGTGGTGTGTGTGGGCACAAGCCCTGTTGGTCCACGGGTTCAATGAAATTGCTCTGTGATTGATCTTGTAGACGTTTGCTGGGGGCTGCTCCACCCACCGTTATAAGGGGGCAGCCAACGAAGAGCCTAACGGTGAGGTGCTGAAAACGTACCTGCTTTGTCATACTGTCTTGTGGATGCTCTTGGGCCCAGTGTGGCAGCTGGGGGTCCGCAGGATGTGCCTGGGCTCGGCGCAGCAGCTGGCAATCCTTAAGATTTGAGTGTTATTTGCACATGTCGATCTGCCTTCCCCAATAGGGTGATTCCGATGTAAGTGTGTGTGTGTATATGTGTGTGTGTGTTTTTATCCCTGAAACCAAGGGCAACAATGCATGCATGTGTGAAGACAAAGCAGGGGGATGCACTGGGACTGCATCCAACGAAGCTACCAGTGATGTGGGAAGCCAGAGTTGGCGACTCTTGTGTACCTGCAAGTGATGCTGAACGTATAGAAGCATCTAGCATCATCGCTGTGCATTGGTTAGCTTTGCCGTTGCTTCAACAGAAAGCTTCCCGCAGAAGTTGATGAAGAAGAGGATGTGGAAGATGTTTAGGCTACGAGTGTAGGAATACGTGCTATCCCATGTTTGGCTTCGGCCGCTCGCGGGTCAGATCAAGTGTGTGTGTGTGTGTCCATGATGAAGATGACGATGACGATGGTGGTGATGATGATGATGGTGATGACGGCGACGATTATGCTGCTGCTGCTGATGATGATGATGATTACAAAAGTGGTGATGACGGCGATCAGAATTACGATGACGTTGACTATGACATGCTGAGGATGATGGTGATGATGCTGCTGATGATGATGATATACGATGATGATGGTTATTATGCTGGTGATGATGACGCTGATGATACACGATGATGATGATGATTATGGTCATTTTGCTCATAATATCATCAGCACCATGATGAATCATCATGATCAGCATTACCATATGATGTTGATGATGGTTCTGATTATTACGAGCACTGTACTACTGTTCTAGGGGCACTGCTTGTGAGGCGGTGCAGACAGGAAGTGCCGGTACTACACCACTTTTCAGTCCGGCCGCTGCCAACTTGCAGAAGCCTGCGAGCAAGTCCTGGAACCCCGCGCCCTCACGTTCACAAAGATCCGAGAAGCTGGGTTGTTTTTAGTTAAAGCTACCACAATCAGGAAACCCGTTTTTTGTTATGATACATCGCGGTGCAAGATCTCAGGAAAGAGCGGGGAGCACCAACTCGAATTCAAACGACGGGGCTTCCAAAGAGACAGTCCAGCAAGCAGCTTCTCTCCTGCAACAAGCTGAAGCAGAGGCTCATGAGGTCGATGGAAAGCCTGATTCTGACGTCTATTCGAATTTGTCCACCTTACAGACGGCGGGCCCCTATTATCATGGGTGGTGGGACTCCAGTGTGGAGCCCTATTGGGACAATCACTGGATTCGACGCTGGGGGTCTGGGGACATTCCTTGGAACATGAACCAAGAGCAGTTCCAGCAATATGTCGTGGACAACGATCTTGGCACGGCTATCACCATGCCCAGAGACTTCACGCATGTGCGCGTCGACTGCGACGTTCCACGCCTCAATGATTGGGTCGGGAAAGGAGGCCGAAAGTACAATGGGTACAGTCTCTTGGCAGCGAAGTCGCTTGAACTCTTCTGCTTGATGGACCTGAGTCCCATCGAACCAGTAATATAGGGGCCTGAATAATTAGAATAGGGTTTTGGGATGAGTGCGGACTTGCGTCGGTCTTCTAAAGCGTCTGAACACCTGGTCTGTTGCCGGTGCACTGGAAACAGCGAGAATGCTTTTTCAGCATCCACACAAAACTTTTAAGCAGCCTCGGGAACACTCAAGTTCCGGTGCGCCTTCAGTGAATTAAGGTGGTCGTCTACGGGTCGGTTGCTTGCACCCTCG